GGCCACTCCCATGGTCAGGGGGCAGCAGGGCAGGCCCTACGAGGACTGGCTATGGGACCTGAACCTGTTCAGCCTCCACAAGAGAAGGCTGAGGGGGGATCTAGTGGCCTGTTACAAACTAGTCAGAGGGAACCAGCAGGCATTGGGGGAGTCCCTGTTCCCCAGAGCACTATCAGGAGTGTCTAGAAATAATGGTCACAAGCTGGCAGAGGGTAGATTCAGACAAGACATCAGGAGGCACTACTTCACAGTCAGGATGGCTAGGATCTGGAACCAACTTCCAAGCGGAGTGGTGCTGGCTCCTACCCTGGGGGTCTTTAAGAGGAGGCTAGATGAACACCTCGCTGGGGTCGTTTGACCCCAGTAGTTTTTCCTGCCATGGCAGGGGGTCAGACTTGATGATCTGTTCAGGTCCCTTCCAACCCTGCCAACTATGAAACCATAAATGCAGGGCTAGCCAGCAGGCAGCCCCCTCACTGAAGCAATCTCATACCCTAACCAGCCGGGGCAGTGTTTGTGTGCCCTGCTGCAGAGTTGTTTACTCCACAGAAGGATAGTACTTATATTTACACATACTATTCTGCTGCGGAGTAAATTAGGTTACGTCAACCTAATATGGGTGTACATAGAGAGGCTGAGACTGTGCAGCTAATTAATTAATTGTGCAGTAAACAGATCATGTAGACGCATCCATTGATACTTTAAAAGCTATTTTAAGACTGTAGAGAGATGGAAGTAAGATGTGTATATATGGATCTAAATTATGAACTGCATCATTAAACCCCAGGTTTTAATTTGACTTTGTCTCTAGTATTGTGGATTTATTTATTTTTCATACATAGGTCCTCTTCAGATGTTACATTTATTACATGATTAATGTGGTAATTTCCTGATAAATTTTAACATGCCACACTTTCAACCAATTTATTACACCATAATATGGCAAACTAGCCACAAAGACATTTCAGATGTAATGTGGAACGTCTTTCTGGCTGGTCTGTCTGGTGCTTTCATTTGTATGTGTGGCATGTTTAGCTTCACTGTGGGGTCCACCCCTGCTGGTGGATAACCAGCCTTACAGTGCAACCCCAATCCCAGACCCTCCCTCCTGACAAGTTTAAAGCCCCATGGTGTATCTCTGTGCAGGTGGAGGGACTTCATCAGATCCATTGTTTGTGGGCTACACAGCAAGGCATTTAAAAGTTACAGTGTGGGGAAGTCCATTGGTTCCCTGCACCCCAGTACCTTTAAAAGCCCTGGATGTGGAACTTCCTAGCAAGGTTGGGAATGTACCAGTGCAGGGGGAGCCAACAGAACTGCACTGCAGTTCTTTCAGCTTGCTGGGCAGGGGAGGACCTGGATTGGGAGCCCAGGTTCCCCAGGCACTGGCAAGATGCTGTGGGAAGTGAAGCATCAGGGTCTGATCCCTGATGTCTCACTTCCTGTGGCACCATTTGAACATGTGGGCATGTGCGGAAGCTATCAATTGCATGATTGGAACATGCTGAATTTTTATTCCAGATGTCAAAAATCACCTCTCTTTCAATGCACATTTGGCATGGCAGGACTGACTAAAAATTTTTGCGACTGAAGATAGAATTTGTCAGATCCCAATTGCATGTCTAACTTAATGTCTGCCAGAAGCCTAAGTTTTGTTATTTGATGGATGGATAAATAGTGAACTGTATAGACTTTTGTTTGTGATTTTTGACTTTTTACTTTTATTACATAAAGATCTCACTTCATATATATTGTAGGTCCCTCTGCTATAGACTTTGGTGAAGTTTGTGTGTATTCTACATCTATCAAAAAAATACATATAATCAATAATCTGCCTGTGCATATCTGGATACAAGTTGAAATTGCAAGTGAAGAGCTGCAGCAGACTAGTCCATTGTCACACGTGGTGCCACCTCTTTCAAAAACATATATTCCAGTTGTGTATGAGCCAAGCACCCTGGGAAATTTTCAAAAGTAAGGCCATATTGTTGTCTCATGATTTTAGGTTTTACCTAAATGTAGATATTTTTCTCATGATAATTTAAAACACACATTAAGATGAAAGTGCTAATTTTGTATGTATTATATATGTTGTTGATTGTTGATGTGTGAAGACAAAGGACAGCTTTACAGAGCATACTTTTTTGCCAGTATAGTGATATTGTTATAATAACATTTTTTTATTTAATAGCATTTTTATATTGGAAAAAGCCTTAATTTAAATGCAGAATTATTGCAAAGAATTTTTTGCTTGTTCATTTGGGGAACAAGTTTTGGGGGAAGAATTCTATTTTACTTGTCCAAATAGCAATTTTCCAGCTGTGTAAACATAATTTTGGGTGCCCATTTGGTGTAGGTATGTAAACATTTGCAAGGCTACTCAACACGTGCAGTATGTACATGCTGGCTGGGCAGGGCCATGGCTATATATACACACACATACCTGAGTGTAAGCCCTGGATAAATGAGAAGGAGGAGATGTCTTAAATAACAGAACTTTATGCACTTCCCAAGGAAGCCGAAGACCTGGGTTCTTGCAGAGAGGGTTGGAACTCATATCTCTCTAACCATGTATAGCAGTCAGGCCAACACTCTGTACTCAGACCTTTCTTTAGCACTCATTTTGAAGCTGGGCTCTTGAGCAATCAGGATAAAGAGATATGTGGGGCAAGGAAGAAGAGCATAAGCTAAAGCATAAGCAGCTCAGTGAGATGGATGTTGCTCTGGAAAGTAGCATGTCTTGTATTCTACCCTAGATCATTGCTCCCGATTAAAAAGAAACTTCTCTCCAACCATGTTAGCTAATAAGTATTAGTTTCATGGTGTAGTGGTTCAACTTTGGTTGTTGCGGGTAGGTCTTGCTTGACCAATCTCATTTCCTTTTATGACCAGGTGACTTATCACCTGGAGAAAGGGGAAGAGATCAACGTCATATACTTCGACTTTAAAAAAAACTTTTGATCTGGTATCCCATGATCACCTCTTGGTTAAACTGGCTAACTATGGCCTTGTCGTCACCACGATCCGCTGGCTGGGGAACTGGCTCTGCGGTAGGACCCAGAGGGTGGTGGTCAATGGGAGCCAATCGTCTTGGTGTGCTGTGACCAGTGGGGTCCCACAAGGCCGTGTCCTAGGGCCTATACTGTTTTAATATCTACATCAATGATGTGGACATTGGTGTCAGAAGCGGACTGGCCAAGTTCGCCAACGACACCAAACTCTGCGGTAAGGCATCCACACCTGAGGACAGGAGGGTGATCCAGGTGGATCTGGACAGACTCATGAAATGGGCGGACGAGAACCTGATGGTGTTCAACATTGAAAAATGCAAGGTTCTCCACCTTGGGAGGAAAAACCTGCACCATGCTTATAGGCTCGGTAGTCCAGCACTACAGATGAAAGGGACTTGGGGGTCATGGTTGACCACAAGATGAACATGAGCCTTCAGTGTGATGCTGCGGCCAGTAAAGCGAGCAAAATGCTGGCTTGCATCCATAGATGCTTCTCAAGCAGATCCTGGGACATCATTCTCCCACTGTACTTGGCCTTGGTGAGGCCGCAGCTGGAGTACTGCATCCAGTTTTGGGCTCCGCAATTCAAAAAGGATGTGGAGAAGCTTGAGAGGGTGCAGAGGAGAGCCACGCACATGATCAGAGGTCAGGAAAACAGACCTTATGATGAGAGGCTGAGAGCAATGGGGCTATTCAGCCTGGAAAAGCACAGGCTCAGGGGTGATCTGGTGGCCACCTATAAGTTTATCAGGGGTTCTCATCAGGATCTGGGGGAATGACTGTTCACCAGAGCCCCCCAAGGAATGACAAGATCGAACGGCCACAAACTCCACTGTGAGCGGTTCAGGCTGGACATAAGAAAGAACTTCTTCACTGTCTGCCCAAGGTTTGGAACAGACTGCCACCTGAGGCGGATCAAGCGCACAATTTGAATGCCTTCAAAATACATTTGGATGCTTATCTTGCTGGGATTCTATGATCCCTGCTGACTTCCTGCCCCTGGGGTGGGGGGCTGGACTCGATGCTCCTCCGGGGTCCCTTCCAGCCCAAACGTCTGTAAAATCTGTGAATCTTCATGAGGAGATCTAGAGAGGAAACTAGGTAAATGCTTGACCTATGGCCCAGTGCTTTGAAGAGATGTAAATTCAGATGTCCTCTGAGTAACAGAACTAGGGGTTTAGAACCTAGGTTGCCCACTTCCTATATGAGTGTCCTAACCACTCAGCTACTGAGGCTAAAACATAGGAAGGGCTACCTCCTATGGGAGGACATTGGGATATACAGTTAGGTACACTGATGTAAGCTGTTATTTGGGTGCAGAAAGTGAAATAATTCTGCTCATTATGTTTATACTAAGAGTTTATTGATGCAGCTCAAACTGGGTAGCTATGTAGATTAACTTTTTCTGGTGTAAACTAGGTTCCAGGATGAAGTGTTCATGATACTATTATAGCCATTAAGAAAATTTTGTAGTGTTGAATGTCCTTTGCCTAGAAAGACAAACTTTCGTGAGTTTCTTTCTCTCTCTTTATTTTTTTATAACTAACTGTCCTCCCCTGCCATCTTCCCCTGCCCCTCATATCACCTAGGTAGTAATTGAGCAATTTTGCATAAGGTAAAGGCTTTGGGGTTCCCAGGTAGAAAGTCTGAGGTCCAAAGCAGGAACAAATGCCCTCCTACTCTCCAGTGGGCATTACGATCTAGTAGCAATCACAGGGACCTGGTGGGACTCCACACATGATTGGAACATAGCCATAGACAGCTACACCTTGCACAGAAGGGACCAAGTAGGAAAAAAAGGTGGAGGTGTATCTCTCTATGTGAGGGAGCAGTACACCTCCTTGAAGGCTGACATTGGCTCCAAAGTAGAGCGGTTCAAAACCCTCCAGGTCAAACTGGGGGTGGGAGAGACCCAACTGTAGGTGTATACTACAGACCACCAAACCAAGGGGAGGAGCTCAATCTTGAGTCCTCTCAATAACTGGCAGAGGCCGCACACCCATGGGACATGGTCATCATGGGCAACTTCAAGTACTCAGACATCACTTGGGAGGAACACTCAGCTAAGTTGGATTGGTTGCATTGCTTCCTCACCTGTATTGAAGAGCTTTACCTGACTCAGGAAGTGCACGGGCCAACCAGAGATAATGCTCTCCTTGACTTTGTCTTGACCAAAGGAGACAATCTGCTGAGCGACTTGAATATAGCAGCAACCATGAGACCATCATGTTCACTGTCCGCAGCAAGGCAGGCAAATCAGCTAGCAGGGTTGAAGTTTTGGACTTCAAAAAAGCTAATTTTAAGAGGCTCAGGGCAATAGTAGGGGAAGCACTGCGGGACCAGGGACTGAAGATAAAAAGAGTGCATGAAGAGTGGTTGTTCCTCAAGATCATAATCCTCAAAACTCAAAAGAAGTCCATTCTCATGTGGAAGAAAGGTAGCAGAAGGGTTGGTAAGCCCTCTTGGCTTAATCGGGATATCATGCTCCTCTTGAAAAAGAAGAAAGAAACGTACAAACAATGGAAGCTTGGGACAGTCCTCAAGGAGGACTATACAACAATGGCCTACACTTGTAGGGAGCAGATTAGAAAGGCTAAGGTGGTGACTGAAGTTAAACTAGCAATGGAAATCAAGGACATCAAAAAGTTGTTCTTTAGGTATGTAAGAAACATGAGGGAAGCAAATAGAAGCATGGGGTCATTGCTTAACAACTCAGGACAGCTGGTTACCAATACTCAGAAGAAAACTGAACTCCTGAATGACTACTTTGTTTTGGTATTTCACTGGATAAAGGGGAAAATCATACTAGATAAGGTTCAGAATGGTGGGAATGACTGCCTACCTACTGTTGACATTCAGCTGGTGCATGATCAGTTAAAGTCAGCCATTTGTAAGTCAGCAGGACCAGATGAAATTCATCTTTGAGTACAGAAGGACCTGGCCAAAGTCATCACAGGACCTCTGATGAAACTGTTCCAAAACCCATAGCGCTCAGGGGAGGCCCCTGAAGACTGGAAGAGGGCCAATGTTTTGCCCATCTTCAAGAAGGGGAGGAGAGAGGTCCTGGGCAACTATAGGCCAATTACCCTAACTCAGAAGGTAGGATTTTGAACGACAGCCAGCATGGCTTTGTTGTGGGCAGGTTTTGTCTTGCCAATTTCATCTCCTTCTACGACCAGGTAACTTGTCACCTGGATAAGAGAGGGGAGGTTGACATTGTATACCTAGACTTCTAAAAGGCCTCTGGTACCCCATGATGTTCTCACAGTAAAATTGGAGGGTTCTGGGCTTAACTGCTTGACAGTCAGGTGGGTAGGAAGCTGGCTATGGGGTAGGACCCAGAGGGTTTTAATGAAAGGATCTGTGTCCTCCTGGTGAGAAGTGGCCAGTGGTGTCCCTCAGGGGTCTGTGCTTGGTCCAGTGGTTTTCAACATCTTTATCAATGATTTGGATGTAGGAGTGAAGAGTTCACTGGCCAAGTTCATGGGCAACACCAGGTTATGGGGGGGTGTGGTCACGCTTGAAGATAGGCTGCAGATACAGGTGGACCTAGACAGCCTGGCAAGTTGGGCAGATCAGAACCAGATGAAGTTCAACATTGAGAAGTGTAAAGTGCTCCATCTCAGAATGAACAAATCTCAACATACATACAGGCTCAGAGGCGTCAATTTGATTAGCACTACAACTAAAAGGGACCTACAGGCAATAATAGACCATAGTATGAACATGAACTGTCAGTGCGATGCTGTAGCCAACAGGGCAAACAATGCTCTGGCATACATCAACCGATGCATCTCAAGCAAAACCAAGGAAGTGATTCTTCCACTTTACTTAGTATTGGTGAGACTGCAGCTGGAGTGCTACCTCCAGTTCTTGGTGTTGCACTTCAACAAGGATGTGGAAAGACTTGAGAGAGTCCAGAGAAGAGCCACCCTTATGATTAGAGACTTGCAAGGCAAGCCATACGAGGAAAGGCTGGGGGACTTGGGCCTCTTCAGCCTAAAAAAAGAGAAGACCGAGAAGGGACTTGGTAGCAGCTTTTTGCTACATCGGGTAATACATCAAGGGCTCGGCAAACAAGTGTTCACCCAGGGCACCTTTGGGGAAAACTGGGAGTAATGGCTACAGACTCCTGGAAGACCATTTCAGGCTTAACACTAGGAAAAACTTCTTCACAGGGTGTCCAGACTGTGGAATAAACGCCTTCCAGAGGTGGTGCAAACACCTACCCTGGAAAGCTTTGAGAGGAAACCGGATGGTCATGTCGCTGGAATTACCTGACCCCAGTTGTCTTTCCAACCAAGTGCAGGGGGTCTGGACCTGATGATCTTGCAAGGTCCCTTCTAGCTCCTTACAATCTATAAACCTATGAACAGGGAACAGTGGGTGAAATCCTGGCCCCAAGAAGTCAATGGCCAAACCCCCATTCACTTTATTAGGCCAAATGTTCATCCAGTGTAGCAATTAACCAGGAGATTTTGGGAGAGACAAAGGGGCACAGAAATCCCAAGCACCCGGTTCTTGCTGAAAAAGTAGCCAGACTGGCTGAGATCTATGCAAGAGAAATTTGTCAGTATATGGTGATTTTGAGCCTTTCTAGATAGGGCAGGATATAAAGAGCAGTGCCAACATCAAAACCAGCATCAACTAAAATACTTACCATAAGAAAATAAACTGACTCTGGGTAACAAGTTTCTTGTCCAACTGCTATCCTTTGGCAGAGAGGCAACAGTATAGTTAATTATTAATACTAAATGAATCAGAACCGTACATTTTTATTAATGTTATGTCCCAACTATACAGTAAGAGAGTAAACGATTATAAATAGTAATCTTTTGTCATCCTTATAACTGAGTAAGCTTAACATATATCATATTTTAGGGGAATTTTCTTGCTCTTTATGACTATATGCTGTGTAACACTTATTTAATAACAAATGTATACATAATTGATTGGATCACATATTTTCTATATTGCAGATCTGTCAGTTACACTATAAACAACAAACATATGGGGCATGTACTGGTAACTGCAAAATCAGTTCCTGTTGCTCTTGAGTTATCTGTAAAAGAGCTGATTCTAAATCCTACCCCTGGCTTCCTAGCAGAAACAGGTTTTAGAGCTACCATTAGATTATATAATCGCAGAAATTATTTTGCTGACTTTACTTGGACTCCTGTAATCACAGAGAAAGGAACAGCATTTGCTATACGGCCAGCCAAAGGTATGGTATGCTTTAAAGTTATTTTAAATAATATGCAAACAATAAAGTGTTGCATGTGTATGTGTTTAAAGTTGGCTAAAGTTGAGTGAGGACAATCGGTTGACAAAATGAAATAAGATATGGGTCAAATTTCCTGGAAACAAAAACCATTTGATGACAAAGCCACATAGGGTAGAAATGGACGTAACCTGATGAATTGGATCAGTTTTGCAGCACAGCTGATCTTGTTCACTGGGTGAAACACACATTACCTTGTTTTCTGCCCACTGATGGTATAGGACAAAGAGTGATGTGTTCTCCTGGGGCTTGAGATGCCTGGTTTTGTGAACCCTAGGATTTCCAAAGTAGGATGTCCCTTAATTCCTGAGAGTGTTTTCCTGGCTTATAGTTTCATAGTTTCATAGATTTAGGGTCGGAA